CATTAATGTATAATATTCTTTTAAACTAATAAACTCTATTAAAATTAATCTAAAAATTCAATTACCTAATCGTAATTTAATTTGTTAATATCAAACACACATGTACGCACACACACGAGACTCATTTTCTTCTTTATATATATAATTTTAAAACTTTCTTATAAGATTGTTATCTGTAACCCATTTAAATTCAAAGTTAATAGCATATATCACTTAAGTAACAAGTAAGTACCATAGTTAAGCTTTAGACTCGGTAAAATCTTCTATTGAAATCTTTTTATTTCTATAATCATTATAACGTAATTGTGTCATTTAAAATTTTGATGAATAAAATATGTAACCTTATAAAAAAAAAAGTCAAATTAAATAAATGGTGGGAAGTAAGGGTATATTTGTAATAAACTAAAAATTTGTGTTATACCAAGTAAGGGTGTATTTATAATAAACCAAAAATTTGTGTAATATTTGTAGAAAATTCATATACATGCATACATACATATATATATATATATATTGATTTGTTGGAAATTTGCACCTACATATCACTTCACCGGTCACTTATAGGTAAGCATGAATTTGATTTTCTTGCAAAAAGAAAAAAGAGGTTTGCTGTTTTATGTCTATTTCTTCATACTTGTTCTAGAAATTTTAGTGGTTCAGGTTTTGTAATTCTATGGGTGGCACCTGGTCTTACTACAAGACCATATCTACCTTTTAATCATTTCAGGCATAAATTTAATTGGAAACTAGATCTGTATCAACCCATCGTAACACACACACACATATATGTATATGTGGAGGACACGTGTCAAAATCATGTAAGATCCTCATAATCATCTTAATCACAATCGTCATCGTCATCGTCATCGTCGTCATTACTCTTATGTTTATGTATTTACAGATTCTTTTCGTCCATGTCGTCAACGTATCTACTCAGCAAAATCAACTTCGCTTATTGAAACTTACCGAGTACATGTTACAAGTAACTTGTTGAGTTTCATTCCATATCTATAAAATGAATGTGAGGCAAGACCCAGATCATGGTTCTTGTTACGTTCATCTCCTGCAATCATCTTTTCTCTTGGTCTCCATTCGTTGTCTGTTCGATTATGATCTTGTTGATAATTCTCCCTCATTATACTGTACTATTTATATAGATGATGATTGTGATCAACAGCGTGAACCTGAAAAATCAATGGCCAGATGGAGGTACAAAAAGATTGAAACAAAAGAAAAAATTGTTAAAGAAAAAACAACACTCAGAAATCATATCTCTGATCAATGTGAGATAAGAATAAGATTGTTAAGTATCAGTATCACATCCCATATCTTAATTACCACTTGTCTGAAGAAACAAGTTGACCACTTCGATCAGTTTCTGCAGCTGGTAGAAGATTCCCTTCTGAATCATACTGAATTTTCCCGGAAAAATCTAGCGGACGACACCGTTCTCCCATCATTATCGTCTTCCTCCAAAGAACTTCATCATCATCATCACCATCATGATCTCCTCCTTCTTCTTCAGCAACTTCTCCTACTTGTAATTTCTTCCATGAAATCATCTTCACCATCGACTGAGCTTTACTTGTAATATTGCTATTAATTCTGGAGAGGAGCTTTTTGTTGGCAGCGGTCTCTTCATTTTGCCGGTGTGATTTCTTTGTCTTGTGTGAAGCACAGAACAGTGTCATGACAGCAAATACTGAGAAGACTGTGATGAGGATGAAGAAAGTGGTGATGGGTAGTGGTAAAACACAAGGTTTTTGCATGAGAAATCTCGCCTTAGCAAGATTATTATTAACAGAGTTAACAGTAAAAATAGAAGAAGAAGAGATTGGAACACAAGACGAAAGTATGTTGCATTATGGAGATAATTAGAACTTATACGAGTGATTAGTGATGATGAATCACTTAACCCAGTTTGTTTGAGGATAAATATGGGGTGTGACGTGACGTACGGGACCATAGCACGGTGCTGACTCGTGGGTAAGTTTCTGGGTCCAAGTCTTTTGGTGTTGATTTTGACGAGTCGACTCAGGCCATCTTTGAATATCTTGCTATGAGCCTTTTGTACGCATAATGTGCCCCCCAGGTGGCTCCATATATGTGTGGATACATACATACATATATATATATATATCATTACGTGATGAAGTTTTATATTATACCCAAGAAGGAGTTCACTTTGCTTGCTTTGTATACAAAGAAAGAAATCAGTGGAGAGGCTTCCAAGCAAAGAAGATTCATATCAATGGCGGTAGGCTGGTAGTATTATCACCTCCATAACAATGATCAAACATATATCAAGCATAATCTTTCATTAATTTTTTAGTATTTTGTAGATTCTTTTAAATAATTTTTTAATATATTTTTAAAAATAGTAATTTATAAATTAAGGTTATATATGTATTTTTCAAAATTTCTTATATAATTTACGTGTATTTAAACATAAAAATTATATTAGTGCTAATGAGAAATTAAATCTCTCTGTTAATTCTCTTAATTCTTCTTTATCTCATATCTAATAAAATATTACCTAAAACTGTAAAACAAATTTCCCCAAATAATAAAAATAAAAAAAGGAGAACTTAAAATACTCCATTTCAGTGCAAGAAGGTAATATGGTTGATACATTCACCATCATATTACACTGTCATCTTCATCATCTTCATATATTAGGTCTGAGAATACATAACAAAGACTTAACCATGGATTTCTATATATATATATAGAAATCAAATGGGAATAGCATTAGTGACAGAAGGATACACAACGTTGGCCGGATGTGCCATGATCCGCCGACCCTTGATATGCTTGAACATGTAAACCAACGCCCCCACCGGCCACTCGACCGCCGCCGCCGCCACAAACGCCAAAAATCCCACCGTCGGTCCCACCACCTTGCACCTGCATGGATTGCTCCTCGTCCCGCATTCAACACAAACAGGCACGCCCATTATATATATAATATGACCAAATTCTGATGAACAGAGAGAGAGAGTAATTAAAAGAACAAGAAGAGAGGAGAGACTGAGAAGGTTGTTAGAGGGACTGAGTTGAAGAAGACAATGGTGAAACGGGTTACTCCGATTAACAAGTTAATGCAGTGAATTAAATGGATCATGGTGTAGGGTTTTTAAAGTGGTACCAGTTGTGGATCTTCAATTTTTTTGAAGCGAATATATGAAGCGTTTCTTGGGGTTTATGGGGAGAGTCTAACGTACGTGGCGAGTCAAGAGATGTTGTGTTTCTACAGATGTTGTTTGGAGATGGCTTCTCCTAACACGCGTTTGCTTCTTGATTTTTTGGGTTTTTATTTTTAACTGGGAGTTCTTGATTTTTTGGGTTTTCAGTTCAGCCTGAACGTTTGGGCCTGAAAATTGGGCCTGCAAATTTGGGCCTGAAAATTCGGACCTGAATATTTGGGCCTGAAAATCTGGACTTGAAATTTGAGTAAAACTTTGGGCCTGAAAATTTGGGCCTAATTTCGTGTCTGAATTTCGGCTTAAAATTTGGGTCTGATATTGGGGCTGAAAATTTGGGCATGACAATTTGGGCCTAAAAATTCGGCCCTGTCAAATTTGGGTCTGAAAATTTCGGCCTAAAAATTCGGGCATGAAAGTTTGGGCCTGAAAATTTAGGCCGAAATTGGATCTGAAAATTTGGGCCCGATTTTTTGGGCAAGATATTTTGGACCTAAATATTTGGACCTTGTGGGCCTGAAAATTTGACCTTAAAATTGGGCCTACAAATTCCGGCATGAATGTTTGGGCCTAAAATTCGGCATAAAAATTTGGGCCTGAAAATTTGCGCCAAAAAATTTTGCCCTTAAAAAATGGGCCCGAAAATTTGGCCTGAAATATTTGCTTGAAAATTTGGGCCAAAAAATTGAGCTTAAAATTTGTGCCTAAAAATTCGGGCCTGAAAATTTGGCCTAAAAAATTGGGTCTGAAAATTTGGGCTAAATATTTGGGCCTGAAAATTTGAGCTTAAAATTTGGGCTAATATATTTTGAACCTGAAAGTTTGGGCGTAAATATTTGTGCCTCATGGGCTTGGGCCTATGAACTTGCTCATAAAATCTTAGGCCTGAAAATTTGGGCTAAAAAATTTGGACCTACAAATGTGGGCCTGAAAATTTGGGTCTGAAAGTTTGGCCCTGAAAATTCTGTTTTCAAAAATTTGGGCCTGAAATTTGGGTCTGAAAATATTGACCCAAGTAAATGGGTCTGAAAATTCTTGTGTTTTGATATTTGTGATTTGGATTTGAATTTCAGCCCAATGCGGTCCAGCTTGACTCACTTTTTGATTTCAATAAATTCTCTATTTTTCAGGGAAAAAAAAGTCTAATAATAAGTAAAATATAAAATATATATATTTACTTATATTATATATTCATAACCATTAGGGGTTTAACAACTTGATGAATAAACACACACACACACATATATATATATGTATATATATGTGTGTGTATTATATAAATATATATATATATGTGTGTGAATGAATAATATTATGTGATGAATGAGAGGCATGGAGTTTTGTGATTCCTAACTTTTTGTCCCCTTTCATCTCTCATTAAATTAAACCAATTTTCCATGACACCAACACTCCACCAATCCTTTTTTTTTTATTTTCCCACATCTCTTCTTCTTCTTCTTCTTCTTCTTCCTACCTCTCTCAAATCACTTCGTCTCTTAATTGTTCCAGGCATAACTCCAACTACCCTGAAAAAGAAATTGGGATGCTGAATTATAATTGCAGATACAATCAATAAATTTGGAACCAGTTACAAATCCACTGAACTCTGTGAACAACTGGTGAAATTAAAATAAACATGGTGGGAATTGAGAGGAGAGGTTTGTTGGTAATTCTCTGATTGCTTTTGAAAGATAAGGCATACATAAAGTCAGTTTCTTTCTTGATCTTTTTTTTTGGCAAGAGTATATGATTCCTCTTTTTGGGATTTGCCAGAAATACTTCTTCAGAATCAACCCATCAATTAAATTTGGACCATTCAACCAAAATAAATCTCTCTCTCTCTCTCTCTCTCTCTATATATATATATATATATATATACGTATATAACTTTTCTGGTTATTGCAGTACTTTTATGATTACTGATCGGGAATTCCCTGTTACATATTATTCCAAGTTATTTATTACCCACTTGTTTATTTAATTTTTTTATAAATACCCAGTTAAAAAGAAACAAAGCTTTTTCTTTTTTTTAAAAAAAAAGAAGGAGAATTTAATGGAGAAGGGTAAGATTGCCTGTATATGTATAATTAAAATAGTATTTTTCAAAGTTGAAATTATAAATAATTACTTATAATGTATATATAAGCTCATAATTTTAAGCTTCACTGCATAAAATCATTAGATGCACGAGCTTTGATCCCCATGGGAAATCATAAATGAGTGGAATGAAAGCCAGGCCTGCACTTTATGCAGTCTCTCTTTTGGGAGAATAAATTCATTAGTTCATCATTATCTTAATTAATTAAGAAATAATTTTATAGATGTATTATAATATAATAAGATTCAAAACCACTACATACGTATTATGCTTAGGTGTATGCATCTGTGTGTACAAACAAATGTATATATATATATATATATGTATGTATGTATGTATAGATTAAAGAGAAAGATGCTGGGCTTATAAAAATATTCATGGATGCTGTTAATGACAAAACATTCTCCACAGAGAGTTTGAAAAGCTTTAATTTGTAAGCTTAAACAGAAATAATAAAGCGAAAGATTCTACTCATCCTCTTGCTTTTATTTCTACAACAAACTTGTCATCAAAGTCTTCTTCTCATCATAAACTCATATCAAATTATATAATATATATATATATGTATGTATATATGTACGTACGTCTCACATCTCATCCAATCATCCAATGGAATATATTAAACACCGAAGCAGAAAATTAAATTAAGAAAAGATGAAACCCAGTAAAAAATAAACAAAAAGAAAAATTAATCACACACACATACACTATATATGTGTGTGTCTGTGTATATATATATATATATATATATGTATGTATGTAGAGTAGGGTCCTTTACATTTACACCATCCACATGCAATTCGCTTTCATAACCAAGTATTAATTGTATTACCTATTCTTTCTTCAATATAATAATACAAGAAGAAACCACCCGGAGTTTCCTCTCGCATATATTCTTCCAATTACCTAAGCAGATCATCCACCCATTTTATATACTTACATGCAATGTCATATGCATTATATATATATACATAGGCAGCGTCTCAAGCAATCCTCTTTCACTTGCAAGTACTTCACACACATATATACGTGCATATATATATATATATGTATATAAATCCACCTTCTTCCTTTTGCTTGTACACCTCACCATCATCATATAAAGTAATCTGATCTCCTCTCTTTTCTCTCTTCCTCTGATCTTCCTCCGTCTCACTAAACCAAGAAACTGAAAATGGCGAGACCTAATAATCCTAGTAATCTTCTTCTTCTTATAATGTCGACCGTGTTAACGTTGATTTCTTTTACAGTTGCAAGTAATCTGACTACGTCCGAGAAGCTAGATCAAACAGTGATTGATCCTGAAATAAAATGCGGTGCATGTCCTTGCGTCGACCCATGTGCCCAGCTCCCTCCTCCTCCTCCTCCGCCTCCGTCGCCGCCTCCTCCTCCTCCACCGCCGAAGACGGTGTACTGTAATCCGGTGGCGCCGCCTCCGCCGAGGTTTATTTACGTGACGGGTGTGCCTGGTCAGTTGTACTACACTGATGCGGATGAGTGGGGGTTTTACTCGGGTGCCGGGCGAAATGGGGCGATGGCTTTAATGGTTTTGATGGGATACGGAGTGTTTGGTCTCTGGGAAAATTGGTAAACGATCTTAATGTACGAACTAGAAAATATTTGTTACGCAGTCAGATCTGCTCGTAGTTTTAATTATATGTTAATCGTAATTAATTAAGTAATAATTTGATTGTTTCTTTTTTAATTATGAAAGTAATATTATGATTTCAAGTTAATCTAATTTAATATTTAATTCAAATTTTCTGTTTTTAGTTTTTTTTTTTTCGTAAATCTAATAGATTAATTAATTAAATAAATTAAATATAATTAATCAATCATGAAGGGTTAACCAAATTATACAGAAGGTCCTAAAACCTGTCAATACACCAAAACATTGTATTTAATTAATGTGTGTGTGTGTATATGTATATATATATATGTATATGTATATGTATATGTATATGTATATATGTAGTTGCACTTGTCTTTTCTACTTGTCTGTCAGTGCATCTGCTCTGACTCACTTCTGCCACAAACACCTTCTCTCCCAACCTACTCCTTCTATCCACCCCTTTTGCCAAAATGTAAACTCGTGCCCATAAATTTGACCATTCCGTTAAAAATTACAACACAGCACTAAATCCAACGGTTCAAATTAAAAAAGAAAATGCATTCAAGATCCAACCGTCCGAATTATTCTTTTCGCAATTAATAAACACTAACCATATATATATATATATGTGTATGTGTAGATGTATATATATATATATATATATGCATATAATTCAATAAATCCAACGATTCATATCGATTTCAAGGGGGGATGAAATACACCTTCTCTTGCAGCTAGCTACCAATAGTTCCTCACAATATTAATTACAGCAGTCTGAAAAAGCAAAAAGCAGCCAATTTTCACCCGCTTACGATTGTGACTCTTTTCACAATTGTTTAGCAGCTAGATCCGTCTCTTTCAAAAGTTCTCCACACTATCAATTAATATATATATATATATATATATACAACCGCATGTATACATATATATATATGTATCACGCTCTCTCTTTCTCTTTCAATATATATGTATGTCACCATACAGTACTCCTCCCATCAGCCATCACACACCATGGCCAAAGAAATCGGCCAAGCAATGACCCACTACTCTCTACTTGTTGTAATTATTACAGTGCTACTGAGTTTCCCACCCACATCCAAATCACAAGCTACTACACTATCAGCCCAGAATGCAAATGAATGCTCCTCTTCTTGCCTACCACCGCCACTTACACTGCCGCCACTGCAGAGTGGCTGCAGCCGCCACCAATGTTGCCGCCGTGGTTCACATCGCCTCCGCCGCCAAACCCAATACTGTTTTATTTCCCGTGGTACTACAAGAATCCACCTCCCCCGCCTGAGTTTTCGGCTGCGAAGGGAATGCATCTTGGTCGATCTGTGGTACAAACGGTTCTTGGTATTATTACCGCCGTAATAATTTTTTACTTTTGATCTTTTGAAGTTTTGCCAGTCTGCTTAGAGTAATATGGATCGTAAAGAAAGTTGGTGGTACTCAAAAGTTCCGCATAGATCTCTGATATACGGTTTTGTCAACCTGTTCAAATTACAAGGACTGATTTTTTCTTCTGAGTCGTGTGTGTATATCTATATATATATATATGTACCCATATATATAATCAAAGATTCTTGGTATAATACTATCACGGTAAACTTTGCTCAAGAGTTTTCCCAATACATATAACTCAGCCATGTAAATTGTTAAAACAATAGATTACAAGAAAGATCATGAAGACACCAGGCCTTCCTAAAAAGCCAATAGAAAATCATATACATCTGACACACCCAATACCTGTTTCAGGAACACGTTTAACGTATAACATAATTGGGCAAGAGCAATCGAACTTGAGTTCTACAAAATTTTAACCAATGGATTACGCTATAAACTTCTTTTGGTAAACAGCATTCTGTTGTCTCTTATCCTTTCACGTTTCAATTCTAAAGAGGGATTATTTGACAAAATCTACAAATGGTTGGCAATCTTCCAGCTGAATAAAATTTCTTGTATATTCCTCGTATAAAAACCCCCTATACTTCATTTGTATCCGAAAATGAGAAACCACCTTTTGGCACTTTTCAGTTGTAATTCCTGCTCCACTTCCCAAGAGTTTTAAGTTGAGATCAAAATTATCTATTTCATACTCTGCTGCAATCTAAAGCTTTGATTGTTTCTCGACGCCATGTAGCTGTTTCTGGATCAAATCTCAGTTCCCACGTAGGCCAATAGTGCAAATCCTGCTTTAACGTCAATACTCGAGGCTTGCCATTCAGATGGACTGTCTTCACACGGACAAATTGTCCATGTTCTAACTCCTGTTAAAACATTGAAAGCAGTCGGACTGGTACATTTAGTTCACATGGTGGAATGAAAACCGGATGAAAAGAAACAGAAGGCATTAAAAATCTATCTATCACGTGCTTATTCAATTTTTATCATGTTCTTTTGTTTAATTACTAGCATATTCGTCAGATGTAGAAATGTTATAATTTTCATATTTGCATCCATTTTACTTTTATCCTGAATTCTTTGAAAATAGATGTCTAATCCCGACTTCCCTATGTAGGAATTAGAATTCCACCTCGAGTTTTCAAGTTAGAGATGAAAAGGATCCACATATGAAAATTTTAATCCATGTTTACATCTTAAGGATATGGTGGTAGTTAAACGAAAGAACATGATAGGACTCAAATGGGAATTGTACCGAAGAGCCCCTTAATGTACTTACTAATAAGTACGCATCTTGGAGTTAGATAGCATATACATTAAGTAGATGTACCTTTGTCACAAGAACGAAGGCATCCAAATCTGGTGTCGGTTTTCCATTAACTTCAACTATCCATTGGAGAGCATATAAACCATATCTATGAACAGGACTGCCATGGCACCACCTGATAACAAAAAACATGAAGTGCCAACATCAATTTATGAAAGCACATTCATAGTCCTAATTTAAAGAAGATGATTCACATAGAAAAATCTCATAACTCATATTGGTTCAATTTAGAGTTTTCAACATGAAGGGTAACAAAGTGTACAAGCAGCATACATTTACTTGGCTACAGGTCAATGATCATATCAACCAAATATATATATGACTAGAGGGGTAGCTAGAAGAAAATTCTTACCTTGCAACATAAACTCCATGACCTTCTTCAGGAAGAAATCCAAGGGCACGGACTGCAGCATGGGGTTCCTGAACAATGCACCCACACCAGTTTATCACGCGGCTTGTGCCATTCCCATCCCTAACATCTGTTCCCACCATAAGTTCAATTTCACGTCCCTATCAAACCAATAGATTGAAGTAAGAAAGTGAATCATTCTACAGTTCTTTTACAGAAACTATAAGACAAACAATAACATAGATATATATTCAAGAATGCAAAATCTTCCAAACAGAAATAAATATAAACAGAAAGAGGAAATCTGTAATGCACAAATATTTATTTACTGACCTGACGGAAAATTGTCAAGTTAAGCTTCCCATCATTATCACCATCATCTAATATTTGGCAAGCATCTTCTATGTCACGGAAGGAAGTAACTGGCTTTTTATTGACTGCCAACACCATGTCACCCTGTTCTAAAAGATTTTCAGCTTTAGACCCGACTAAACAACCCTTGACACGTAAAACCTGTCGTCTAATTGGATCTTTCTTTACAAGAGCCTTGCAAAACCAAGCAGAATTTAGTGTCAATAGTTTTTCTTTTATTTTCTTCTTAGAGAATTGTCAACATTAAGATATTGATAATATTTGCTTTATTGAAAACAAAGATAGTGCTAATACTACTAAATCCAGTAATGTTTTCTAATTGTTATATCCTGACAGGTACGCTTAAATTCCATTAACAAGTCAAACTATCTCAGAGACCAATGAAGGATGAGGATGATCAGTTGTGCATGGGAAAATCCAATTACACCACATTGTATAATTTCTACAAACATCCCCCAATACATAGTATCGCCAACATAGTACTTTTAAGGGATAAAAAAAAAATAGAGATCATTTTTACTGAAATCTATCAGCTGCAACTTAACAACATAGACAAATAACGACATTAAATGAGTGCTTCAGGAGCAAGTACAGCATACCAACTCCAACTTCGATAATGCTAGCTTTGACCATTCTTGAGTAGCTTTACCTCACAAGGCATATCCAACTTCAATCATAGATCCATCTAAGCTGATCAACTCGTAGCAAAATCCTGTACTTATTTTCACTTTCATGAATTAATTTTCTATTCCCTGCTATTTTTATATGATTATCAGGTTAGGATCTGTCAATTCGTCTATTTCGAAAAAAGGATCTGTCAATTCATCACTTCCACAGAAGTAGTTCTCCTAATTGTCCTTCAACATTATTCCCTTAAGCAGGGATGACCGAATATCAAATAGAATGCATCAACCAGTACTGTCCTAGTTCAACATAAAAACTGAACCTAGATGCCAAAAATTTACAAACTTAAGGAAACAGTGCAAAATAACTGCATAACTCAAATCTAGATGTGTCCCATCAATGGAGGATTGCATAGTTAGGTCAACTTACAGGCCACCCAGACAAAGGATGGTTCATTATGCAGTATGGAATGAAAAACTGGTTGGTTTGGTTTCAGTCAGGACTGTATAGGACTACAATGGACCAAAGTTAAAAAGAAAAAAACATTTATGCTTCAATATTTAGAATTTTAAACCCCATTTTTGAAAAAAATACACAAAGAAAAAAAAATCCTTAATTAGCCGAAAACCCTCCTCTTTACTCTTACTTGCAGCCTCTAGAGTTCCTCCAGTAGCCTCCTCTCTTTCTAGCTGCTCTCTCACTCTCTTCAGCTTCCTCCCTGTCAGCCTTCAAAAACTCCTTTGCAGATCATCCGCAGCTACAAGTGATGAAGCACCCCTCTGAGCTCCTGCAACTGCATGTTGTCCGTCTCTCCACTTATCCTCACCTGCAGCCAGTTGCATCTCTTCCTCGCGCTTGTTTTCTTCTCCAACATCCTCTGCATTCTTCCCATGGCCGAATCTTGGACATTCTGTGCTGCTCCTCTAGTTTCCTGTTTTTATTCATGCTTTCTGTTTTTTTTCTTTTGCTTTGGGTTCTTTTAGTTTTTTTAGTAATAAATTAAGGTGGGTTAAAGTATCATGTCCTTACATGTAGAGAAATATGTAAAAAAAAAAAAAAAAAAATTAATTAAAAAGTAAAAATAGAAGGATAATTATATGTTTATATGAGAAAATTATGTTAATCATCTAAAGCGTGGGGTATAATTGTTGACTAAAATATTGTATTATTTAATTAGTTGAGATGATATAATTAGAATTATACTAAAATAATAATTTTATATAATTAAAATTCTATTAGAATAAAAATTTCGTCAGTAGCTTATAAATTTTATAAATACCACAAGTATAACAACATAAAAAGTGAAAAAATAAATTTTATATTTTTTCTCCAAAAACCATTATGATATCGGAATCAAATAAAAGTATTTTAAAATTATAATTTAAAATTTTCTTTCAAATCCTAAAATAATAAAATAAGTTGAATTGACACTCATTTATCCAAATCGACTCTCATCACCACTATAAACAATGTTAGAGAAATACTTGGCCTCCTCCCGATTTCGCCAGCTGCCAAGAGTAGGGGCGCGTGAGCCACAGGTGGTGCTGGAAAACTTTATCCAGCCCAAAAATCGTCGCATCACCCCTAAAATATCCTGATCGGGATAGATTTAAGCTTATCACACGCGATTCGACCTTCTAGTTTTGTGCACGAGGTCTAGCTTCATAGATCGCTGTAAGGCTCCGTTCGACTTCTTCAAGCAATTGCCAAGCGTACAAATCTACTTCTCCAGTCGGTTATGCTCTTAAATTGCACTGAGCACCAGCAGTTCTCCTTTCGATGCATGATCTAGCCGCAATTAGACTTCTTTTCTCTCTGCGTGCACGTCTGCAGATCCGGAGCTCAGATATGGGACAAATTTCACGATGCCAATGGTAATTCGACTTTTCCGCGTGCGCGCCTCTTCGACTAGCCTTTTCTGGTCTTTTTTTCCGGCTCCGCATGTGGCCGCCTCTACTTTTACAATACCAGCGCAGATCTGCTTCCCCTGTTAGCCGTTCTGACCAGTCTTTTTGGTCCTTTTGTCTGTCTCCTCCGCAAGCGGTCGCTTCTAGTTTCGACCAGCGCTTACTTGCTAGACCAGTCTGTTTCCGGTCATTGTATTTAGGCTTACAACATATTTCTCTTTTCTAGTGCTGATGAGAAGGTCTGTTCTTTTCCTGTGTGATTAGCTATTGGTTATGATTTTTTATTATTTCTAGTACTCTACAATGATAAAATAAAAAAATTGATTATTCCTAATTCGAATAACCCCTCATTACAAATCAGTCATGTAAAACTTGATAAAATTAATTATCTTACTTAGTTAAGATTTTGTTTATTGTTTATCAAAACTAGAAGATTTTAGGGTTACATTACTACTAATATGAAGAAAGCAGATGTTGTTAGTTTGGAGTATAATAGATGAGACTCTAAAAACTCTTTAATAATGTCTTGTTTCATCAATTCTATGCAACCTCACATTACCCGAACATATCTGTCGCTCGATTATTTCAGTAAAAATATGAAATACAACATCTTTACATAATCACAAGTGGATAATAATGCCCAAATTTATGAACTCCGCAATAAAGTTTATGGTACAAAACAAGAAGAGATGACTATTTCTCAATATTTTTCTCAACTCAGTAGATTATAACAGAAGTTAGATTACTATCAAGATTTTCAAACAGATTATCCTGAATATGCAATTAAATTTCATAAACTGATATGAAAGAGCAGATTTATGATTTCTTGGCTAACTTGAACACCAAATATGATCAGATATGAGTCCAAGTGCTTGATAAAAATCCTCTTCCCTCATTACAATAAATTCATTTTTATCTTCAAGAAGAATAAAATAGAAGAAATATCATACTTCACATAGCACCAGTTGAGAAAGGTAGATTAATTGCTTAGTCAGACCAATCCATAGATCCACAGAATTGTGACTATTGTGACAAGTCGATACACTAAAAAAACTTATTGAAAATTGTATGAATGACTAACAGGTCGTGGGAAAATGAAAGGTGGACCTATGAGAGTTCAAAAAAATTTGGTTGAGACAAGTAAAACACCTGACACACCAACAGTTGGAATTTTTTCCACCGAAAAGATTTAAAACGTAAAGCGTATTATGTCTCAATTTAACTTTTCATAAGCTATTGGTGCATTAAACATAATAAAATCAATATTTTCAAACAAGAGAAATGACACTGACAAACTGCAGGATGACTTTTCATAACTTAATTTGCAAGTTGAACATGTGTGATATCATTACACCAATTTGAGGGGAGGGGGTGTTGATTAGGATATTTTATTATTTTATTATTTAATTAATTTATTATTTAATTAGATGAGATGATATAATTAAAATTCTATTAAAATAATAATATCATATTTTAGAATTCTACTAAAATAACAATTTTCTTATAAGTTAAGAATTTTATAAATATCTCAAGTGTAACAATATAAATGATGAGAAAATAAATTTTATATTCTTTCACTAAAAATTAACAATAATAACTAGGAAAGTTAATGTTTGCAATAGTTGCAGGAGATTAGAAAGACAAGTGAATGAGCATCGTGTCACCAAAGGCTTGACATTTGACAATTTGAGGCGTTGCCAACTGCCAACTCTATGCTAGTTTCTTCTCCTAATTTTTTCCTTCAACAACTTCATCTCTTCAACCCAATCAACTCTCTTTCTCTCTCTCCCTCTCCATCTCCATCTATCTCTCTCCCCATATTTATACACACTCAAACACACACACACACACCCTCTCTCTCCCCCCTCAAACAGGGATGATATCTCTCTATTTCGGTTTGGACCAGACTGAATCAATTTTCACCAATTCGGTCCCATTCACACTAAAATATAAATAGTCTGGTCTTTGATCCTTGTCCTCCGTAAATTTCTTTCCTTAGTTCGATCCAATCCTGTCTGATTTGGTCCGGAACGAACACCCCTACCTAGACAAAGAAACTCTTTAAAGCAGTCGATTTTTCTGACCTGTCTTACCCAAAGAAATCTTACTCTTATAGGTTAACCTCATAACTTAGACAAGTAAATATCAAATGCATGCTCTCGACAACCTAGAATCACATGCATTACAATGTACTATTTAATTTAGTGTCTAGTATAGTTAAGTAACTTCGAAGACCTTGTGACAATGAATGCTCTAGCCATCTTTTTTTATAGTGCCAATAGGGAAAGGCTATGGGATTTGGCAGTTTGCTTACAGAGCATCCAAGAGTGATTAGGGGATCCATCTTGTGAGGTCAAGAACAAGAAGAAACTTATTGGCCTTAATCCTCTTCTCATTTTTGGACCATGTGAAAATAAATGAATAGAAGGGCTTCTGAAGGTTTTATGTCTAAGTTTTCTATCTCTAGAGGCCTTTAGTTCTTGCCTAATTTGCTTTTTGTTTTGCTCTCCGTGGCCCCTTGGTGCAGTTGTCTATCTTTTAGTCTTAAAATAAAAAAGAGCAACTTCTCTTAACCAAATTATTCCTAACTCCATGTTTATGCAGCCTTAATAACAGAATTAATATTTCCTTTGAAATTGAGAAACTTATTATAATATGCACTCAAGAGAAATGAAGAACACACACCTGGATCCAATTATCACTCAGACCAAAACTTCGAGCCTTCGAAAGTAAAGTAGGATATAGTTCAACCTCTAGGATCCTAACACGTGGCATTGGTCTTTTCACACCATTTATGAGGAGAGCTGGCCCATTTGCACCAGTGATGATTTTTTCAAGAACTTGGCTGATACAATCAATTGGGATACCTCTAATAAATTGATGATCTTCAGATGAACTACAACCAAATTTCAGCTGAAATTGGCAATTTAAGATCTCAGAAATCAATAATACAAAGCCAAATAAGTTGGAGAAAAGGAAGCAAAATGCAGAAACCTGAGTTGAAAAGCTTCCCCAAATTGCTCGAACCCTTCCCTGCTCATCAGTTAGAACACCTGAAAAGGTACTGCCAAAATCTGGAACAAGAAAAGAAGGTGAGAAACCAAAAGCGTGACATAAAAATGCCGAAAGCAAAGAAGTGGTATCTCAAGTGCAGGAAACCATTGTACCAGTATCAAGCTCAATGACTTCCATATTTGTAGCTCTGTACCGTGGACAATCGGCTGAACCAATATTCAAAGCAGCATATGGATTGGTAACAATAGATTTCCTAGATGTTGCTTGAAGGCTTCTACTTAGACCAATGAGGTAAACAGAATCTCCACGGCAAAGTGCAGGCTCTGTTTCAGATTGCACAAACATAATTAAGAGATAGATAATGATAACGTAGAAAACAAAATTACAAACACACAACTTATGAGTACCAAAAGTATCCATTTCTATCTTCTTCAAGCCTTCAGCAACAACATAAAATTTTTTCTTCCACTTATGTTACAAGTCTGAGTGGAGTCATCCTCACGAACGACAGAGGAAAATGTTTCACTCTGATATTAATTGGATAAATTTTACATTATAAATCCTTACTTTTTAGCTCAATTTCAAGCTGGTCCCCACCTTTAAACTTAAAAATTATAGACTTAACATCTAAATTTTTCCTTAAGCAAATCCTTCTATCAGCCAAACGACCCAGTAGAATCTTGTGTGTAATTCATTTATACCCCTAGATTAAAAAGTCAAGCACTTTTTTTTCCCTGCTCCAAAGTCTACTCCTAGCTATGGTGGATAGGAGGGGAAAAAAAAATCAGAAATGCAACTATCTTGAATGCCCAATAAGCTATCTGACACTTGTTTGGTCCTTACTTGGCAGTCATGTGATGTTTCTGTCTGCTGACTAATGATTAACTGATGAAAAGATTTGATTATGAAAGGATTAGTCGGACTTAGACTTCAAAAGTCACAACCTTGGAAGATTCCAACTAAATTTCTCCCTATTGCAAAAACCCACACAAACATTTAGATGCCCATCTTCCATGTAAATGTCCATAGGCTTTTTTATTTTTTCTGGGGTAAAGTCCTTCAATAGGTTTCGAGTAAATGAATTCAGCGAAAACATAACCAAAAGTAAAAGAAAAATTCAACAGCAATTCAAGTATATGATCCTAACAAAACTTGAAAGAATTTCCCTTGAAATTCTTTAAATTGTTTTAGCATCTTGTTAGAATAAAATAACTCAGTTGAATACCAAAAAATATTTTAGAAATTCATGATTTATTTCAAGCACAAAAACTAATTTATACATGAATTAGACAATGGATCAAGTTAGGATTGAAATTAAATTTCATAACTTGTTCGTTCCAAACAAACCTTGGTTTGGAGAATAAGGTCTGACAAACCTACGCATTCACCAAGTTAATTCTGAAGATTAAAAAGAAATGTTACACCTACCTGGAAGTAATTCAGCAGCACGAACAGCGGAAGCACCAACAGATCCCAGAGCAGATGGGTTATATGCAACAAGTGCATAGTTGTGAACTGGATGAAGAAAAACCACCTGCACTTAAATTAAGCATTTTAATTGAAACCATCACCAGAGAAACTCTTTTTATTTCCAGAGAATAATACTTCACGGCTTTATTTTGTGAAAGTTTACCTCGCCAGGAATTTCAATGGGATAAGCAGCAAAGGACAATATCACATCAGACACAGATACCGCAACAGTGTTCCTGTCAACTGCAACCAAACCCAGACTCGAGGAGTGATATATGATGACACCAGTCCCAAAGAAATTTTGAGAGTGGACACCATCAAGCATGCAAGAAGGTGGCACATGAACCTGCAAATGCAAATGTAAATAACCTTGTTTAATTTTTTTTTTTTAGAAAAAAAAAAAATTATCCTTCTAGCTGCACTCTTTTTTGAAAGTAAGATTGATCCTCCTTCTTCCTTATTCTATCTCTATTATCTCTATTTGCTCTTCACTTAGTAATCTTTTCATTCTCAACTAAGTTAGCATTATCTTTTGGATTACATCAGGCCTTCCCCGGTCAATTTCTAGACCAGAATCACCCCCTGCATGCCATTTGATTCCTGGTGCTCCATGTATGATTTATTCATAGGTATAAACAAAAGCAAAGGATCAGAAAAATCAAAAGCTCACTTTCGTCGACAGAGTGCTTTGTTGAAAACAACTATATGAAACATCTCAGGAATTACCTCAAACATCACAAGCGTAGGCTCTATCACACGCTCAGCAAATGAGGCATTAGTAGCAATAGCTGTTGCACCTTGATAGTCTCTTGAAACTGAATTTTCCATGGTGGTTGCATCCTCCAGCTTAACTTCTCCACTTTCTTGCAAAGAACAGTCAGCAACAATTCCATCAGTAGACAGATCCTCTTCCAATCGCCTTTTCTTTGCTCCAGCACCAGATTCATCCCGAGGATGTTCTTCGTCAGAAGCATGTCCACAATTGGTTTCCATACTACTAACACCATCAATCAACTCTAGATTACTACCTGCATGCTCTTGTTCAATACGGGTTTCCTCGGCACATAATGAAACAGGACCACCATGTATGCCATTTTTAATATCATTAGTACCAGAATATTGGATCATGGACCCAGGTTCAATTGCAGGTTTAGCAGTCCATAGACCAGAACTGTCATCACGTGTGTAAATTTGTGGTGGAGTATACCATTCATGCCGGTCAATTGTCACCAAGACAGACTGCAGCAAGAAATAAGTTGAATAGTTGAAATAAATCGCCAAAAAAACTTAAATTCAATAAATATATACATAGAAAGATGAAGGCAGATTATCTGAGGTAATATCAACGAAGGGGGACAGTCATCTCAAAAGATTCAGCTCAGCAGCATCAAATAAAGAAAACCTATAACTTTTTTTATCAGAAAAAACAATTTTACAAGCAAGCACCTAGGGGATTTGATGCCATCTATATACAGAAGTATATACAAGAATGCTAGACAAAAGATCCATATGTCTCCTAAGTCCTCTTCAACAAAGAGAGGATGTTCCTTGAAGAAAAATACTACGGGTATAGAGCTAATAACATAATCCTACAAAAAGCGGAGCAAAATATCCTTAAAAGCTGTTCTACTCCTTTCCTTCTAAATAAGCCAAGAGATGGCCAAAATAATCAGGGAAACAATCTCCAATTCGCCTCCCAAGCCAACAACTCATCTGCCATCAAGAAACAAATAAGCCAGCTTACGTTCAAGAGAATCAAAGACATGTTTCATGAATGGCTAGTTTCTAGGCACCAGAAAAAGAGAATGTCTACCTTTCAGCAGCAAAGCATAAGTAACATTGACCATTCGGCTATGTTTGAGTCATACGGAAAGTTAGGAACATGAGAGCTTTTGAGGTTAATGTTTTATCTTTTGATTGTATAAAGGATATCTGGTTTTAAAACCTTTGGTTTTTTTATTTAGGGTCATCCTCTATATACTTGGGAGGATTTTGAGGATCTAATTGATATTTTGAATCACATGTAAATACTTTGGTGAACAGGTTGTATCCTCTTGATGTCTTTATTGGTATACTTTTCTATTTCAAAAAAAAAAAACATTGACCATTTGCATCTTTTCATGATATTCTCAATTTTAAGGACGTGTCGCCCCCTAGCTGCCTCCAATGTGAGAAAGAAATGAGAAGAGTAGCTTCGCTTGTCCATATATGTTTTCCAAGGGAACCACTTGATTAATAGGACTTGGCTCCAAACTTCCCATTTTTGTTCAGATTCCATCATGTCTTATCCTCACCTAGAACCTTCACGTCCCAATAATTAAGACTCTCCATAAGCTGAATGCCACAAACTACTCATACCTTGGGAACAATCCAATACTGAAAATACCAGTAAATTGCTCCTCTTCAAGGATGTCTCACCATACCACCTACTGTCCAAAACCTCCCCAGAGCCCATCGTGAAGCTAATCAGCTCACCTACTTTACTCAAAACCTTCTTATCCATTCAAAGAGCCTTCTCTCTTAACTCTCTCAATCGCACAAGTCATTCATCCCTTTCTTTCAAGCAGCATCAGGCAAAGAAAGGCACAAAATTGTAATCTAGTTCATTAAACCACATTAAATTCAAGGAAGCCTCTCCATCAATGATATTCATTTACTTCAGCAAAAAGAGAGAAAAATCCGGTTGGCTTATCCAGAGGAATAAGAATTTACAGATGCAAGTTCTAAAGGCTAGAAGACCAAACTTTGAACAGGAAAAACCAAAACTGCAAAGAGACAAAATATAAAATTGGTGAAAAATCCTACCGTAAAAACTAATCCTATACCTTTCTACGATGACGATCCATGTAGCTTATATATTCCAAAGGCACCCGAGCACCCTTAGATAACTTTGACACAACAGAAATTAGGTCCTCAAGTCTTGAGATATTCTCACCAGCAAACTTCTTAATAATGGCATGCCGAGGAACTCCAGCTCGAAATAGCATGTATCTGTGATAGGCAAATAAAACAGTTAAGTAGGAGTTGATCTACAGAGAGAAGAATAGCGGGAAATGCAAGGCAGGGATCATCTTTCTCGTCCAGTAAAGAATATACTGAATGGGTCTTATGTCTCGAAAACATAGCTTCTGATAGCAGTACATAGAAAATATAAATTAACCTTTTCTATCAAAATAATTGGCTTGATCAAAGGATCATGTTGCGATTTTGGATCACAAAGGAATGATTAATGCTTTCTCTTAATATAATAATTGATAACTTTTTACCAAAGAAAAAGCATAGATAATCTATGAGCACAGTAGTAATTTTTGTAACGGGTGGTACCCTCTTTTTAGTACCTTGTTAATATATACCTTACACTTTTTATTTCACAAAAAAAAAAAAAAAATCTACGAGCACAGTTACAGAATGAATAAAATGCATATGAAGCAGAAATTAAATTGAGTCAATTAGCACTATAAATTTTCATGAACTTAGTCTTACCCAGGTTCTGCGACATAGGGAAGACCACAGTGGAAACGAAAATTCCTAGCCTGTTTCAGTCAAAATGTAGTATTTTTAATGTCCATCAGTACAAGCACAAGTGAAACATTAAAATTGCAGAAAGATAGAACCAAACTATCATGTAAATACGTGGTGTCCCCTTGGCACATTTACTTCAATACAATTTCATACTTTTATTTAAAAAAAAAAAAAATAGAGCGAAACTATCATAAGCTCCATCATAAGCCTCATCATGTCCTTCAACCATGGGTGTAGACCCCCATAAGCCAAGGAACTACTT